CAGGCCCTGGTTTCATGTGCCTTTAATACTTTGTTTCTCCACCTCCAGGTTCAAGCAATTCTCCTGCCTTAGCCTCCTTTTTTTTTTTTTTTTTTTTTTTTTTTGGTAAGGCTACTTTTGTAGCTTTTCGTTTTCCCTTTGTATTTATCATGTTTTTAATTTCTTCTCTGAGGAGGAATTCTCTGAATCTGTATCTTCCAATTCAATTCGGTGCCTTTTGAGGCCACTGTGGCCATGAACAGCCCTGCTGCTATCTATGGCTGGGGTGTCAGTGGGGTCCTCTCTTGTTCCAGCATTGGGGGTCTCACAGGCCATTTCAGACCCGCAACAATCTTTGTGTAGGAGTGTCCCTGTCAGGGACAAGTTATCACGGTCAGTGTCTGAGTGTCCTGGGGAAGAGTAGGCCACCGCCTCCAGCTCCCCCAAGTTCTGCCCGTTATTGTGAGGGTGAATGGGACGAGGGTGTAAGCGTCCATTGTTATGGTTGGCACAGATGGTTTCGAGGCTCCTCTCCTCACTGTCATCAGACTGGGTCCTGGGACAGTTGCCAGACCCGATGTTGAGAGTGGAGCCAGATGCCTTGGGGACAGAAGGAGAAGGCGGCTCCTCAGCCCGACTACTCAGGGCCTTTCCATTGAGCTTCTTGGTTTCAAAAGGGTGCTCTACAGAGCCGCTATTGCCAGTGTCCTGAGAGGTACCTTCTGGCACCTCTGCCCAAGCATGGCTGCTGTGCTCATGGCCTGGGCCATTGCTGGGATTTCTAGGAGTCTCTTCTTTAAAAGCGTCCTTGCTGCAGCCTTCAGGGGGCAGGTCCTGTTTCCTCTGGGCCATTGCTATGTTTAGACAGGCTTCCTTACTGGAAGAAGGGGCTGGGTTGTCTTTGTGGCTGGTTCCTGCTCTCCCTTCATCTGCCTCCCCGGTCACCAAGGAGGTCTCTCCATCTTTGTTATTTGAGTAGGAGATATAAGAGTAGCGGAGCCACTTGTAAGCTTTATAAATTTTTCGCTCAACTGATTCTATGTCAGAAGTCGGTGAGGCCCGGCTTGGCTGAATCTCTAGTGTGGAAGTGCTCCGCTCAGGAGATGAGGTGGGGGAGGAGGAGAGGTCATCCACTTTGATCTGGGGGTAATCATAGTTGTCTTCTCCAATGTAAGTGTTGGTGGGCTTGACTGGGGCACTGGGCCTGTCTTCTCGGGTTGTCTTCTGTCGACGCCGCATGGCATTCCGCTGCCAGGTAGAGGCTCGGCGTTCATTCAGCTCCTCCTCATCCTCGGAGCTGCTAGAGCTGCTGGAACTGCTGGATTCATCTTCGGGGCTGGGTGACCGTGGCCGGGGAAAGAGATCTGTGTCTAGTTCCACCTCACAGACATTCTCCTCAGAATCGGACTCATTGGAAAGGGCCAGGAGGCGTTTGTCTTGGTAGCGCCGCAGAGCAGACAGACGCTGCTGGCGAGAGGCTGCGTCCTCACACGTGGGTGTTGGTGGAGTTGAGGCTACTGCGTTTGTGGTGGTGACCCGCAGGGGCCCCAGGTGGAAGGCGTTGTCGGCAGACTCATCTACTGTGGGAGGCGGGGAGCGAGGCAGTGAGGCCGAAGACTCTGAGTCAGTGTAGCCTGAGCGCTCGCTGACCCCTGCGTGCAGTTGCAGGATAGTACTCTCACTGAGGTCACTGTCTGAGTCAGAGCTCCAGCCCTCGATCTCTCGGCGTACCAGGGAGTCAAAGAAGGCCATCATCCGCGGGTCTTCCTGGACCGACTGGTTGGCGTAGTCATGTGACAGGCCACTCCCACTGTTCAGCACAAGGCTGATGTACTCTTCATGGGTATAGAGGCAGCGGGAATCGTCCTCAATCCGACCATCGAGGTCTCCAGTACATCCTGGCTGCTTGTATGGGCTCCAGATCTGTACAGAAAATGAAAAACAAAAGCAACAAGGAGTAACTGGAAAGTATTCTTTCACTGGTGGTAATAAAGAACACCAAGGCAGAACTTCCCCAGACCCTCCCTGTAATTTAGTTAGGACTTGCTAACCAACTTAAAAATATGTTCTTTACTAGACTGGATCATGTGGGCTGTGTATGAAAACTGAGGCTTTTAGAATCAGATGTGGGGAAAAGCATGGTTTAGAACACAGTATTAGTCTAGTGTCAAGAGACCTACCTAAGTCCTGTCTCTAGGCCCAGGGTAATCACATACTTTCTCCTCCAGAATCTTCCTCCCTTTTAGTTTCATCTATTAGTAGTTGGACATTATAATAACAATCCTGGAGGATAGAGGATGACTTGAAGACTGGCCAAGGTGTTAAAGACTTTCAGAAGACCGAAGCTGTGCACAGAGAGGTACCACTTTTCCGAAATGTAAACAGACCCAGCACTCAGCCCTCTATGGTAGTTAATATCTGAGCCTATGGCTCCACTTGTGCCCAACTGCAACATTCCTATTTTTAACTGATGGGAATTGCTCACTGGAGCTTGATAAGAATAGCCAACTGCCTACACTGCAGTTCCCTCTTGGATATACAGGCACCAGTTACCCAGGAAACTGGGTTCTCTTAACCAGGGAGCTGCTGGCTTGCTCCCCAACAAGTCTGTTAGCTATAGGAGTAGGTAGGACACATGCCCCAAGGACAGGTAACTGCAGCCCCACTCATAATACCCCTCTACTCCATGGTCAGGGACATGGACTCATCGATAAAAGGCAGCAGAGCTAGGACTCAAACTCAGGTCTGCCTGACTTAAAGGCTCAACTTTACTGTTATGCAAAATTCAAGTGCAAGGTAATTAAGTTGTCACTGCAAATGAGAACGATTAGCTCCACCTGACTGCCAGACTGGTTCACAGCAGCACAAAGCAGCCCAGTTACATCAGCCTGTAGTCATGGCAACTCAGATGAAATCCCAGGCAATCTTCTTGCCTGACAGGCTGGTGTCTATCTTTAGATGGCATCCAACCCAGAAAACAGTGGCCCCTCATTCCCCATCCTTCATCTAGACCAAGACTTTGTTTCCCCAAATGCTATCTAAGGACAAATGCACCTCCCTGTGGGAATTCTCCTGAGTCCCATTCCTGCCATGCTTTACTTGGCAATTCCTGAGAGGTAGTGTCTCTGCAGAGGACCCCCCAGTTCCAAAGAGGCTGAAGAAACCTTCTAGATTAGCATCTCTCCACCAGTTCCCAACTCAGATTCATTCCTCCTTCAACTTTTTTCCCTACCCATAACTCTAGATGTTGCTCAGATGTTCTCTCCTCTCCAGCTTCATAATCTCACCCTAGAGAATTTTAAGGGATTGGTTTTCACTTTGGAGTACACAAGAATCACCAGAAGAGCAATTATAATGCTGAATCCTGAGTCCTACTCTTAGAGGTTCTGATTCAGTAAGTCATGAACAGGTATCAGGACCATGCATTTTTAACCACTCAAGGGATGAATAAGTAGGAAGACCAACTTTTGAGAAACACTAGACTACAGTTACCATAAAATAAGTAGAATAAAATAAAGGGTTTATCTGAAGGTTTACACATGGTCTCCAGCATGTGGCTTAAGCTATTATTACTATCTCTGCAAACAGATGTCTAAGGGAATAAAAGAGATTGGTGGCTTAGAAAGGAAGCTGAGGGGTCCAAAAGGGAAAGCTCTTAGGATTTTTTTTTTTTTTTTGCATCTTATTCATAATTCTGAGCCAAATCTCTCACCTCTCCAGTTTAAAAGTGGTAAAATGTCATTAACCATGTTCTCTAATATAAAGATAAATCTATTTGTACCTCACAGAAACTCAGAATTTGTTAACAAAAGTACAAAATAACAACAGTGAGATGCTGGCTTAACTCCTCACCAAGCCCATTTTTAAGTTCCAATGTATTATTACCCCAGCTCCACATTTTTCCCTTCAGGAATGAAAGTCTTAACACTGAAAGTTAGTTTGTGTTTGGGCTCTGGAATGTATTAAGCTGAGGTAGACTGTTCATTCCTGAAGCCTGGAGTAATGGAGTGAAACGCAGGATTAAGAGGCAGGAGTCTTGAGTGTGGATTCCCACTCACTCCTAGTTAGTGGGTGATGCTCAGCTCCTCCCTCTAAACAGTAGATTAGATGGGTCTCACGCAATCCTAAGATTCAGAGCAAAACAAAACCTTCACTCCAGACTGCCAGTCTTCAATCCTCAAGGGACTCACAGTGCTTCAGGAGTAAGGGGAGCAGGTAGGAACCCCAGCCCTGTCATTTCCTGTGGCCCTGAGCAAATGACCTCACACTTGAAAGCCTGTTTCTCATATGTGTAAATGAGAATGATACCAAAGCCTATACCCAACACCAATAAATGTGATGTCTTCTCTTTCATTTGGCAATTGAACGCCTCAACTAGAATGTTAAAACCCACCCTCAGGGAGGCTTCTGAACGTTATAAGTACTGACCGTCCCTATTATCTTGGTTCTAATGCTTAATATTAATATATCAATTCCAACCATTTGTGAAATTGGTAATTTCTTTACACTGGAAAGTTAACAACTCAGAAGGGAATCAATGAAAAAACCAACTTCCTGTTACATGTTAAATGTAGCAGTCAGGCGCGGTGGCTCAAACTTGTAATCCCAGCACTTTGGGAGGCTGAGGTGGGTGGATCACTTGAGGTCAGGAGTTCAAGATCAGTCTGACCAACATGGTAAAACCCTGTCTCTACCAAAAACACAAAAATTAGCTGGGCGTGATGACAGGTGCCTGTAGTTCCAGCTACTCGGTAGGCTGAGGCAGGAGAATTGCTTGAACCCGGGAGGAGGAGGTTGCAGTGAGCT